CTCCACAATTGATTTATTTACAGTTAATGACATCCTCGGCCACTCTGGCGCTTGGCACAGTCAAAGTGCTGAGCCCTTCCCTGTTATTGTCCCAGGTTTTATTCCCGCATATTTCCAGCAGCGGGCAGTGACTCAGCCACATGAATCATTGATGACACCGTGAGTCACACTAGGTAGCACAGGAGGATCTGGATAACCATTACAAGGTTTATGGGAGATCAAGAAATGCACAATATACTGTATAGTCATTATTATCTGAAGGAAAATTATTTCATTTAGCAAAGGAAAAAAGAAAAACGGGTATTTTAAAATGTTATTGCAAAGCCTCACTGGCAAACCAGACCTCTCCCACGTGGCTCTGAACCAAACCTGCCCTTCTTCCTCAGCTGCCTGGGTGTGCACAGGGATCATAACCCAGAGCTCAGAGACAGAGGCTGTGCCTCTCCTGTACCTGCCCCTCAGAGCAAACATGTGCTCCTCAGCTGGCACAAATCCCAGCTGAGATCACTGGCCTGGGCAGCTCCCAGAGGGGCACAAGGACCAAATCTGTGTGACATCGGGGCACAGCCCTCACAGGGACCCTCCAGGTGCCAGAGCCCCTCCCCGTGGGGCCAGCACAGATGGACAGACAGACAGGCAGAGGAAGGCTGCTCTCCCTTCTGCAGGAACACAGAAAACTTGTGTTTAACATCCTCACAGCAAATGCTCAGCTCCTCTGGCTGCTGCGGACCCAGGGCCATGGCAGTGTTTTACAAGTGCTAATTAAATCACAGAAGACAGCTCTGTCCTGCTCTCCATCAGGGAGATGTAGGGAGTGCTCTGCCTCCAGCAACATCCTCCCATCCCTGCTGCCCCGTGGGGCCAAGCACTCCAACGTTCTCCTCTCCCAGGGACAGGCCACGCTTTGCTCGAGGACAGGCGTGTGTGCTGATGGAAGGGGCTATTTTAGGAGGAGGCAAAAGAGACACCGAGGAAACAACTCGGAAAGGATGCTGCTGAAACTGCAGGCTGGCATCCCAGAGCAGGGGCTGATTTTTCACAGAAGTGGGAATCTCCTGAAGCAGTAACAGGGTCCTGGGCTCCCTGCACTGCTGGAGCAGTGGGTAAGGGTCACCAGATCCCACGGGGAGCAGGTCCCCGATGTCCTCGTGCCCGTCTCTCACCTCTCAGCTCCCCCAGGTCCAGGGTCTTGCCCAGCTGCTCCAGGAGGTCGGCCCTGGCGGCGTTCTTCTTGTGCTTTTTGCCGTCGTAGTGCTGCTGTGCCATCAGGGGGTTGTTGAACCAGGCTGTGCAGAGCTGGCAGTACCTGTCCGAGTCCCTGCGCTGCGGCGGGGACGGCACGGCCGCGGGACCGTCCGTGTGCGGCGGCTTCAGCGAGCCCAGAGCGGCTTCTGCAAGAACAACGTTCACACAGATGTGAGCTGCTTCCCTGGCTTGTGCTGCCGCCTGAGCAACGGCAGGCCCCGAGGCAGATCCCACATTAGACACGGGGAATAATTAGCAGCAGTTACAGGGTCCCAGTGGATATTTTGGATGGTGCTGCCTGGAAATCTACCACTTCTCATTAAAAAAAGCAGCGTGAAAGGACAGCCCAGGACTGCTCCTCGGCTTTCTGCATTTCAGTAGCTGGGGAAGGAGGATGCTCTCAGTTCAGTTACACGTCTTACCACTGTTGTGACTAAATCTGCTAAACTTATCCTGCCTGAATTGCTACTCCTAGGGAAAAATCACCAATGGAGAATAAATATACCATGCAGAGCCATCTCCTTCTCACGATAGAGAGACAGATTTATCACTATCTCAGGATTCTTATTTTTCAATTTATTTGGTCTCAGAAAGAACAGGGAAAGCCATAGTCATTGTGAATTGTCACAGATGGAAAAAAAATATTCAATAGTCAGTCCCATCCTTCAAAGACCTTCCTATTGTGAACTGCCAGGTTCCAGCAACCCATGATCTTAACTTAATTCTAGCCCATTAACTTAATTTTCCAGCCCATCCAGGAACAGGAAGATGACCCTCAAATCATTCCAAATCAAAACTGGTGATTAGTCTTTATATAATGGAGTGCACCTTGTTCAATACAGTTCCCCAGCTTTGTATAACACGAGTCACAGAGCCACAGAGAAACAGTTTAAAGTAAAATAAAGTTCAGATAACGTTGAGATACAAAATTATACAATGACTAGCATTTAATTATCACACTTCATTCAAAAATTCCCTTTTATGTGGTTTTCCTTTTCTTTTCCCGATGAAATGTCTGCTCTTTAAATAATTAACAACCTGCTCTCTCCCTGGTACTGGAATAGGCACATTTGGAGTGGCAAGAGGCTCATGGTGGCTCTCTTTGATCAGGAGGTGATCCAGCTGAGCCCTGATGAGCACACAGGGCAGAGGATGCCAAACCCACCTCACTGTCTGACACCAGGAATGGCAACACAGGGATATATTTAGGCACAGAATTATGCCTGGAGCCCACTGTGATTGACTCCACGGCTCGAGAAAGTTAATATTGTTATAAATCTTCTGCTGACCTGCTCGTCTATTAACTTCCTTCGAGGAAATTCTATCTTGCATATAACATTACTAACAGCCTTATCAGTTTCCAGGGGTTTTTAAGCTTCTATTGTTTTTGGTGATGACTGCCAAGGTATCAGAGTTCCAGTGGTAACCACGCTGCCTCTGAGGAGCTGCTCGGGGCAGGGCCAGGGCCCAGCTGGATTTTGCTCCCCAAAACAGCATCTCTCCCACAGTTCCCACACGAGGGACACAGCCCAGCCCCTCCACAGTGCATGGGGCAGAACTGCAGGAGAGCAGAGCCAGGGGCCAGCATGGCCTCTAGGAAAGAAATTAGGGAACTGCAGTATTGCCTCTCCAAAGTGGGATTACACAGACTTTGCAGGTGCCTGACTCACAAAAAGCAGCACAGCTTGCCTATTGCAGACACGTTTCTGCACTCCCCAGGAGCCTCCCTGCAGGAAGGGCTCCATGCCCAGAGCCCAGCGATGCCACAGGGACTGGGAACAGCCCCAGTGATGCCTGGGGGACCCTCTGCAGTGCCCTGGGACAGGGCTGAGCTGTGCTGGGCACCAGACTGAGCTGCAGAGATGTTTAGACCATTACAAACAACCAGCGACTTGGGCAGCCCCGGAGCTCTGACAGATCTGACCAGCCCAGCAAGCCCCAGGCTATGGAGTTTAATCTATCTCCCTTCTGGGCAGCTTTCTCCTCGTTTCTATGTTCCCTGCTGCCCGAGGGGAACCAGGGAGGCTGAAGCTCACGGAGCTGGTGGTGTCTGCAGGAGTTTCATCTCCCACTCGCTAAGGGAACCCGACAGAAGCAGCGGCTGTGCCTCTGAGCCCCTCTCCAGGCTGCTGGCTGGTGCTCCCCCAAACGCTGTGCAGGAGGCTGTCAGCAGGATGGCACCAGAGCCCCCATGCCCACCCCAGCCCTGCTCTAAGCCCACCACCACGCCTGGCTCCCCATGAGCCCGTGGGCTGCAGCCCCATGGCAGGGACCCCCTGCCCACATCCCAGAGGGATTGGGATTTCCACGGGCAGGGATTTCCTCTCAGCACTCGGTACAAAACACTTCCTTGCAAGGTCCCATTCCTCAGGTCCCACTGCCAACCCCCCCCTGTCCTAAGGCGCGCTGAGCTAGCCTGGCAACCAAAGAAAACACCCCAAATTTACCAAATCCTCCTGAAGAGGAACAGATGAAAGCTGGCTTCTCCACAAACGCGGATTCATCGATTTGATGTGCGCTACATAACTGCTACAGAACAGCAAATGCCATCATTCCCTGAGCAGCGACATGAAAATTAATAATAAACACTCACAAAACGTCAAACGTTAAAAATGTTTCTCCATCTAAAACACAAACATAAAAGCTGCGAGTTTGACTATTTCAAGTATTTCAAAATGCTAAATAGCTCATGACAGTCTGCCTTACGCTCCCTTTCACTGTGGGAGGGAAGTGAGAAAGTCTTACTTTGCTGCAAGAGGCAAAATACAAAGTTAGAAACATTTTAGCACTCCAGCGATGAACTAACGTTTGACTTCTTTCTCACATCCAAAGCTTTTTATTCTGAGCTGGATTTAAATGGCACCCAACTTTTCCATTGGCACACTCCAGGAACTCGGCATGAGGACAAGAAATAACTGAGCCACAACAAGGGGGCACTGGGGAAACTCGGTTTTCTTCAGAAGAAACCCCAGAAATCTGGGACTAAGGCAGGCTCGAGCTGCTGCTGGACTGATCCTTGTATCCAAACCCAAAAGCCATTTACTCTGTCCCCGCTGGTGTCCCACAGCCAGGACTATTGCCACTTGCCTGGAACGATCCCTGCAGGTCCCCCCACTTGGATCAATGAAGGCAGCAGCTATTTCCCCCACAGTTCTTTGGTTTCCAACTCGTGGTGATGATGGGATGCAAGCTGACAGAAGATGTTGGAAATGACTAGAGGAATTCGTCAGCACTAGCAGTGACATAAAGCCTCTGAGGGGTACAACCTTGTACAGCAGAGCAACAGGAAAGATCACAAGTACTTTGCTGTCATGATGAGACATTGTTTTTGTGAGAAACCCGACTGTTGGGACATTTCTCCCCTTCCTGAAAGCACCGGCAGAGAACGAGAGGTTTGTGTTCCATTTGGATGGTAACAGTGAAAGGGAAGGTGCATCTCTGCAAGGAGACTGAGAATAGATGTGATTTTCCTCAGGACTGATGAGACAGAAACCCCAGAATATCAAGCAGCAGAATATCCTCCCCAGGAGCATCCAGCACGCTCAGGGCTCTGCTTAGTTGACTCCCAAGACTCACGAGCACTGGAGTCTCTGAAGCTCTATCTGAGAGAATTAAAGCTCCCTGGTGCCAGACACAAAGGACTGGGACACAAATCCAGTGGAAAAATGCTGGGTGATTTTAGGAAGCCCAGAAAAATGCTGAGTCCAAAGGGCATATTTCTGAGAACTCCTGGAGAGCAAGGAGGTGCTTATTAATGTATTCCTGAGCTCAGCTTCATCCTCCAGATCAAGTGCCTGGAAGAGCTGATGAGTCCTTGAGTTACTCCTTCCCAGTGATTAGGGTGGCTGAAGAGCCCATTACTCTGGAGCACAAAGTGTGGCTCACTTAGAGCCTTGTGAGGCTGATCCTGATGATTCACAAGCGAGACCAAAGCACAATGCAAGGCTGCAGCCCTTGGCAAGCCCTGCCTTGGCTGGGCCCCATGGTCCCTGAACCTGCTTGCACAGTCCCCACGGGTGAATCCAAATCATCAGCTTACACAGGATTCAGTCTCTGTGCTCGAGCATTCTCACTCCCCACAACCACAGAGGAATTTTTTTTTTTTTTTCACAGACTATCAACGTTTTTCAGGGACTTTATGGTTAAGCAAACAATAAGATGGTTAAATTATCCGATTCCTACACTTGACTTTTTAAATGTGAAAGTTAATAGGCTTGCATTAGTGGAATCACTGTGGAGGAGAGCAAAAACCCATCTGGGCAAAAATCAGGAGACAATCAGTCCGAGAGTTTTTCAAGCCTGGATTTCCCTCTGAGGTAAGCACAGCTTATGGTCTGTTCTATACAGCAACACCGAAGGTTTATTAAACGTTATCAGCTGAGCTGTCAAGTAACTGCTGATAATTAAAGCCAGGCTGGGCTATCTGTGCCCAGCGGACACATTCCTTCCCTGAAGCGTGGAGCCGGAGACAGGGCACTCACAGCAGGGCCAGCCCCGGCTGACCAACCCCTGATCCACCCCAACAACGCAGACAACGACGAGCATCAGCAATTTCTAAAGGTTGTTATGACAGCAAGGCCAATGAACAGCTGTCTCTGGGGCCGCCACCGCCGAGCCACCCGCGCTGTGCCCGTCTGTGCCCCCGGCACGGCCAGCCCGCGCCCCCCGCGCCAGCCCCGCCTGCTGCACCCGCTGCCCCCGCACCTACCTGTGGCCTTTAGTGCTGGCTGTTCCCCCAGCAACAGTTTTAACCTTTTGGCATGGATTTTCCCTTGGTAATGAGACTCGGCCACCACTGCTGAGGTAAAGGACATGTTACATAGTGTGCAGCATTTGTTCTTATCCACTGAGTCACCATCACTGCCCTGGGTGGAGACAAAAACACAGACAGAAAGAGAGGTGTGTAAGCCCACCAAGCACAGTCACGGAGAAAGAAGAGAGGAATCCAGGTTGTTATGCCAAGGCCGTGGCTGCCAAGAAGTTTCTGTTTGTCTCTCGACCTCACTCCTGCCCGGTCCCAGCCCTGCCCAGCCTGGGGACACCTCCAGCTGCTCAGCACCGTCCCTCTGCTCTGCGCTGGGGGCTCAGCCTGTAACGGTGTCCCCCGTGGCCGTGGGGCTCCTGGCACGTCCCCCAGCCTCCCTTCCCTCAGCCTTTATTCCTGCTCTCTGGCTGAGCTCACCCAGACCTGGAGCTTTCCCTGCCATCTGACACCAGCACTTCCTCCTGAGGCTCTTCTGTAAGAGACCCCAAAACACCTGGGGGACGGGACTTGGGGGGAACAACCCTCAGTGCAGGTGGGAGAAGCAAATGAACTGGCCAGAATCGTGCATGTCCCCTCAGCAGGATCCAGCACCAGCCCTGGGTGAACCTACCCACCTGACCCACCACTGAAGGTCATCTTCTCCCCCAAAAAAGCACTATTAGAAAAATGACTGATTTCCATCACTTTTTTGTTGTTGATAACTGTAAATCAACTTAAACCTTAGGGAGAAATCTCAAGAGGTGATTAGTACTGTTCTGAGTGTAATTTGCACTTCTTTTAAAAAGCTTTCTCTCAAGATATTTTATGTCTTCAAAGGGAAATCACTTGAAAGTTAAGAGCAGAGTAAAAAATTTCCAGACTCTATTGATCATCAGTGGTGGCAACATATAAAGAGCCTCCAACAGAGCTCCTTTGAAAAGCTGATACACTTCGGTGTTAATGCACCAGGGTCTCTTCCTCTGCCAGGGCTGCTCTTCAGTGACACTTTTTCCTTTCCAACCTACTTTCTCAGCTAGACTGCAGTTAAAAAAAGAAAATCAAACCCCCCTCAAAGACCCTTCCAACACCTCACGTAGGGCCCAGGGTCCCGTCTACACTGACCCACAGTTCGCTGCACAGCCCATCTGGGTTCACCTGGGTTCACACCCTGGCTGAGCACCTCAGTGAGTGGGTAGGGTTCCCCAGCAGTGGAGGGGGATCACCCCCAAACTCTTGGTAGGTCTGTGAGTCCCTCTGCCCACACATGACAGACCTGTGCTCCCTACCAGCCAGCTCCACACACACACCAAGAACCGCCCTTGGTTAGCGGGATGCGGGAGGTGTTTGGGCTCGGGTGTTACCGAGCATTTACCCATGTTGGTATCCTCCATCAGCAGCATCACCTCCCTTCCCTCCTCCACCATCCAAACGCCCTGCACGGAGCCAGAGGCGCTGCAGGCTGCTCCAGCCCTGAAGGGTAATTATTCCGTCTCATTTGTCAGCGGCTGTTTTACCTGTAACCGGAGGGGCCGGGGAAAGCCGAGCCGGGTGTCTTTTGTCACCCGCTGAATGACACGGCGCTGAATGACAGGATTGTGCAGCCAGCTGCTGAAATCACACGCCTTGTGTAGCAGGACACCCGAGCCGGGGCACAGGGCAGCGCCTGGTCCCCAGGGATGCACCATCCACCCCTCCTCGCCCCTGCCCAGCTCCCCGAGCAGCAAACGGGCACCAACAGCTCCTCTGAGCTGCCACCCCCACACAGCAGCTCCCCCCTAACCCTAACCCTGGCTGCCAGGCCCAGCCACCAAATATTCCTACCCCTTGTTCCTGTAGCCTTCTCCAGACAAACCTTCCCCACGATGCAGCACAGGAGCTTCGCACGAGGGAACACACCACGGGCTCGGAGTTAGAGCATCCCTCTCCCAAAACTAGCACCCCACTTCTTCCCCCCTCTGCAGCTGTGCCGAGCCAGCCTCGTTTATTGGGCTTCTTTTTGTAATATTAGAAACTTCAAAGCCAGTCTCCTACATCCAACAGAATTAACCTCAGTTATTCGGCTGCCTGTTAACAAGCTGCTAAAAGGCATAATCCTCACACAAGGCCAGGCACTTGCAGCCCTTGGCTGGATGTTCCTTAAGCAATCCACGGGAAAAGTAAGGATTTTTAGTCCACAGATACAAATCTGCTGTCTTCATTTCCCAGGTCTTACTAAGAAGCAAAGATTATACAAACTCCTGAATACAGCAGCATAAACCACAGCACTGAAAGCACTGCAAAATAACTTTTAAATCTGAGTTAATTTTCTGTGCATGAAGGTGTTGCCATTAGAGAGCTGCTTTCTGTAATGCTCCATGGGAAATTCAGGCCATTTCCATTCTGGAGCCTGTTTTTCTCCTGGCACAAGAAAAGAGCCACTTTATGGCTCCCTAAAGCTGAAACACCAAGTCTGGACATCCTGAGGAACAAGAGGCAAAAGCTCCACCACCCCCAGCACCACCTGGCAGGGCACACATCACCTCAGCAACAGGATCTAATATCCTGCTACCTTCCCTCCAACCATTCATCCTCACTGTTATGAGCCCTTTCCCGAAGCTGGTTAAAGCAATTTACTATCTTACAGGACCAGTAGGGCTAGAAAGGGTTTGAAGGCTTTTCTCCCATCCCCAAAAAATGTGTTTCATAACACATCAGACATTTTCATCGTGTCTGCTCTGATCATAAACAGGGTCCTGTTAGTTAAAGGCAGCGAGAAAAGGCTGATTAAACCTGATTTACCAATCCTGGGACTTGAGAAAATGACTCCTGATTTCAGCAGGGCCCTGACACCTTCTCAGATTACTTTCATCTGAAATGTTAAGCAGAAATTTAAAACGAAAGGTCAAGCCATGAGGTTTTTTCCCCTCCTCCACACAAAATTAAACCCATAATGAAGAGCACAACAACCGAGTCCTTACCCAGTGCAAGACTAATTGTATGAGCCTCCTACTTCTCACTCCAAAGGGCTAACGGGTGCTTTGGGAACGCTGGGTGTTTCTGCAGTGCTCACACAACAAACAGCACTACCCTTTGCCTCACAGAAAGGTCAGGAAACAAATGCTGTCTGCGATCCCAGTGCACCCAGCATCCCCAGCTGCAGCTGCCTCTCCCTCCTGCTGCCACCTGGCAGGGGGACAAGGCAGCGGTTCTGTGCTCAGCAGGACACAAACCCAGTGGCACACAGCCATGCAACAGTCTTGATGGGGAAAATAAGGCTAATATTCCTTTTCAAGTTGCAGACACTCCTACACGAATTTAATTGGCTTTCATGGGTTCTTTCTAATGCTCATTAAAGTGGCTGTGCCACGGCCCGGTGACACTGCTGGGATCAGGTGCCACAGCCATGTGTCCCTGTTACTGTGCAGCATTAGAGATGTCCTAAACAGTTCTGTTCTCTCTCAATGAAAAGGCTTGGCTAATATCTGATCAGCAACGAGCCTACTTTGAGCTGTAAACATTGGCAGATTTTCCCTGCTATATTTTCACAACACAAATAATTTTAGAATTTAGGTCTGGCCTAGCCTAGCATTCACCTAGAGCACGAGGACGCATTAATCCACCCCCCACCAAGGTTTCCCTTGGCACAAGCATCAGCAAACACAGAATCATACTCCTTCTCCATGTTGCCTTCCAGAAAAGAAATGGGAAATAGTTCAACTTTAACTTATTTGAGGTCTGGTTGGTTCTCTGTCCTCCATATCCCTGTGCTGAGATGCACATGCAGTACGTGGTTCCTTGTTAGACATAATCAAACCTCTTGGAGGATCATGTTCCCAGTCTGTATGTGCCTGCCCACTGAGCCTTTCACACTGTCATTAATAACTCAATAAAAATGCAGCGAGATCCTCTTGTCAAGGGGCAGGCTGCATCTGCAAGTACTCCATGTGCAACAAGAAACGTTCACTAATGTTTTAATTACTGCTTGAAGGAGCTTTCAGATTGCCTGGGCAAAATTTGCACCCTTCTCCCTTTAATTAGAAGACACCTCAGGAAATATCAGTAGTGCTCAGCCCCAGTCCCACTGGACTGGTTTGGATGCTGTGTGCTGGGAACTTCACCACCACCCCATTCCTGCAGCCATCGCCCCCACCACCTGCCCCAGGTGCTCACCAGCAAACCCAGCCACCACGCTGAAGTGGAGTAAGCCCTGGGCATTTGCTATCAGCATATTCTTTTCCCTACGAGAGAACATTCAATAACTAACAATGCAATTACTGCTGCTGATGCACATAATTCTTGTGCGGTTTATTGAAAATTATTTCCAGTTACTTTGCGTTTCAGCTCATCTAAATGCTACCTCTGGGCACCTGATCACCTGCACCTGTAACAGAGAGAATGCTGTAGCCCAGAGCCAATGATTCACAAAGCAGCTGAATAAACAGGGACTTGGATTATACCCACGTTTTCCGACCGGAGCTTTTTCGCTGGGCAGCCTCCATCGACGGGGTGAAGCATGTAATAGAGGCGGACTTTGCTGGCATGCTTCCGACTCTGGAAAACAAAGAGAGAAGGGAAAGGAGAACTGGAGTTGCAGGGAGCAAGAGACTCTTGCTGTGCTCACTAAAGCAGATTTGACATCCCCCTGACATGTGTATGCATCCAACACCGGAGCAGGAAAGGGGCAAAGACCCGGGTGAGGAGCATCTGCACCTCACAGAGTCTCACCGAGCTCTGCAGTGAGCTGAAATGGTTGGGACTGCTGCCTTTAGCACAACAAATGCTCCACCCTGGCCACCCCCTAAGTCCTGCTGCCTGCAGCCTCTCCGAGGCACGGGGGGATCAGGTGGGGAGGGAAGGGCAGCATTTCCAGACCATTTCCGTGGTGGGGCAGAGGGAAAGATGGGGTTGCTGAGCTTCAGGAGGAGACAGGATGGTGGGGTGAGGGGTCAGAGGCACACACATGAACCAAACCCCCAGCTCCTACACTTCCAGAACGATAAAATCTAAAAGGGGTATAAAAGCTCCCGTGAGGGACAGGGGAGCAGGGGTGGAGCTCACTGGCAGGTGAGGGTCACAGGGGACAGGAGATTCTGGGAGATTCCCTGTTCATGCCAGCAGCAGCAGCCAAAGCAAACCCTGGGGACTTGCAAAATGCAAAGGAAGATTTTTAAAGCTTCTACAGCAGGAGCACAGACGTAAAACCTTCAAAACCCTGACTTACAGTCAGCTCTTGTCTTCCAGCAGGTGCAGGGAAGAAGAGCCTGCAGCCACAAAGTACCTGCACCCAGGAAATACCTGCACCCAGCGTCCAGATATGTGGGCAGCTGTTAGCATGCAAATGCCTCCTCCGAAGCTCCCTTTTCTGATTGCCCTACAGAACAATAGCACTGCAATATTATAATTTCAGATCACAGAGCTGCAACTTTAAAACACTAAATTATCATTAGCGTGTTCTGGAAAATTCTTTTTCCCGCAGTATGAACTTGGAGCTAGATTTGCAGGGAGCTGTAAATTTGTATTTGTATGCAGAAATGGGGCTATACAATAATTTTTATCCACGGAGCAAATCAGTCAAGACAAATAACGTCAAGAATCTGTCCTCGACTTGTCCTCCCGCTGCATTTAGCAAATGTGACCTGCCACGGTCAGGGCTAAGTGCAGGGAACCCCAAAGCTCCAGCTATCAGCCGAGCAGCCCAGACATCAGGAGCGTGATTAGGAAACGCCAAAGCAGCTGTTTGAAATGCACAGGACAGAGGTGCGACGTCACCCCCGGCGCTTGGCCGCGGTCCCGCTTCCTGCCCGGAGCGCTCGGCGGGTCCCTCGCACGGCACAGCGAGAGTCAAACACGCCGGGAAGGCGATGTGGCCAGAGCTTTTCAGCTGAATCCCTTCCCTGAGCATTGACACCCCGCAGAGCAGCCAGCCTCCCTCGAGTCATCCTCCCCACAGTCACGAGGCTCTTCCCTCGGGTGAGTTCATCCAGCACGTCACGATGCCCACACGCACACAGCCACAGCCTGCTCGGTTTGGAGGGGAAAATGTTTGGAGAGGGGGTGCTGGGAGTGTGTAAACTGCAAAGGCAAGATGTTCAGAGGAATCATTACTCTGGTTCTGCTCCGTGGCGCTCAGCTGGGCCATGATGGATGCCCAAATGTCGGCGTTGAAAGGCAGCAAAGCTTCAGCCTTCTGTAAAACACCTCTCACCTTATACTTACGCTTGGTTTGGATTTACGAAAGCCAAGGCAGAGAAATAACTTATGTTTGGCATAATCTGAAACTGCACAGCTCCTCATGCAGCCTCATTATCCTACAGTTACAAAAGCAGAGCTTGGAATCCTCCCTGGCCTCTGCACGTACGAGGTGAGCATCTCCTTCCCTCTGCGGAGAGGAGGAGGCACAGCCCATTTGTCATCCATTTTATCTCCGGTATTTCCTACATTTACATGTGTATTTATCATCCCAGCACCCCGGCAGGAGCACAGCGATTACTCTCGCTGTGCTGCTCACAAACAGCCCTGTGGGTTCTCCTCTCCCTCCGCACAGAAAACCTGCAGCTCCAAGGCACGAGGAGGGCAAGTGCCAGACACGCAGCGCAGCCAAAGGAAGAACCGCGAACAGGAGCCAAGAAACCAGGATAAATTGGGATCAGGGCACCTCCAGCTTCCATTTTGATCCATCTCACCACATGTACAAGCCTCAGAAGAGACAAAACCTCGCCACATGTGTAAAACCACAGTCTGGAACCAGCAGGCTGCCTGTGGAGGCACCTCCAGCAGCCACCACAACCTCATCTTGGGTGCAATAAGGGTGTTTTTGTGCCTGTGAACATTTCTTTTGTAGCTGTACAGAGTGTTACACCGAAGGCATTTTCACTTCATTTCCCTGCCTCTAGTGGGAACAGCACCTTTCAAAGGCACGAAGTCTGGGTTAATACTGCAGGCATGAAAACCAGTCCTGGCCACGCAGGGAGCTCGGAGAGAGCCTGTCTTCACACAGCTGCTGCAGAGTTCTGCATTGCAAGCTCATGTGCTACTGTAAGGCTCATCAATAAAAGTAAATAAATGGATCATTTCTATCTCTATCAAATCTACTCCAACACAGAGGGCTGTGGCAGAGACAGCACAGTTCAGGCAATTCAACTCTAAAACATAAAAGGGCAAAGCAGAGCTAAACTGTGCTCTGAAATGCAATTTGATCTCGCATAAATCAGGTTTTGGAGCACACTTTGCCCGGAGCGAGAGGTGAGAGCAGGCAGCGAGGTCTCTGAGGGAGCAGGGGCAGCTGGCAGGGCCCAGGGGCTGCAGACAGGGCTGGTTTGGGATGCTCAGCCCTGCTGGCCCCGGGTGATGGAGGGGCTGCTCATCTCTTCTCTGTGGATCTACCAACGGCTCTGGGGAGGACTGACCCATCTCCCCCCACATGGTCAGAGGTTGCCAGCTGAGGCAGGAGCCCGAGGCTTGCCAGGCTGCACAGACACACACAGATCCCCCTCCCCTGTGCCTGCCCAGGGGGCTGGATGAGCAGACCACACCAGCTCAGCACCCACTGCAGCCCCGGAGCTGCTCCCACTTTGCACCGCTGATTCCAGCTGACCTGACAGTCTGAAACACTTCACCAGTTCGGGAGGGTCTTTCTCCCGTCCCCCCTTACCAGACTCAAACCAACCCTCTCTGCAGCTCCCCTCCCACTGCGCTGGCAGCTGATCTCATTTCCCTGTTCCCCACAGATCCCTTCAGCAATCCTCGCTCCCTCCTGTGCTGGCAGCTCCGTGGTTTCAGTCGGTCTGTCCTTCCCCTCCTGCTCCTCCTTCCCTGTGACCTCTTCTCCAGCCAAAGGCCGGGGATCCCAGCACTGGGGGATGCCACACTGAGCATCACCAGGGACACGAGTGGGAGATAAAGGGAGGAACCACCACGGCAGCCCAAATGGCTGCAGCTTCTCTTAGTTTGTAAAACATTCTTTTTCAGAAACCCATTGGGTGGGTTTTAATCCTTTTAGTCTACAGTGTTGATTTTTGTGTGCTGGCAGTTTCTTAATTAAATTGCCATGCAACGTGCAGTCACGTGATCACACCAGCTTTATTATCTGTATTGGCCCTCCTTGTAATCTCATCAAAAGAGAGAAAGTTACTTTGGCTGGCCCAGTTCTCCAAACCTTATGCAGAAACCCAATTACATCACCCTCCAGCCCCTCTCCCGAGCCTGCTGTGCCCAGGAGCTGTGCCAAGCTGGAGGGCTCCAGCTCCCAGTGCGGGTCCCCCAGCGCTGCCATGCCTGGCTCTGCGCTCATTTCCTCCTGGAACCTTCCTCCACTTTCCCAGGCCCTTGGGGGGTCAGCAGTGATGGTGCAGAGCGTGTGGCCAGTGCACTCCAAACCCTTGCTTGTGGATTAATCACCGGACCTGCCGACTCAAACAACAACGTTCTGGATTTCATAAACGCTGCCTCACAAACCTCCAAATTTCTACTGGAACAGAACCAATCTATTCCTCCCTCTGTGATATAACAACATCCTCTGCGTTTTTTAAATAGAGGGCAGAAGTATTTTCAGCAAACGCCTTCCCTTTTCTGCCTCTCCTACCCACGCCACCAGCAAACACTGTCAAGATGCCCGTGGTTCACCGCAGAGCCAAACTCGCAGTTCTCGTTCCAGACACTGCTGGTTGTCAATGTCCCTTTCCTTCCTTCGCCATTTTTGCAAAGCCTCATTTATAATTTATGGTCATTTCTATCCACTGCCCCTTTTTCCTCCGTGAGTTAATGCTTTAAAAAGCGTCCACCTGTGCTTGTTCCTTCCTGGGCACACAGACGTGTCCCCACAATTCCTGGGCACACAGACGTGTCCCCACAATTCCTGGGCACACAGATGTGTGTCCACAATTCCTGGGCACACAGATGTGTGTCCACAATTCCTGGGCACACAGATGTGTCCCCACAATTCCTGGGCACACAGACGTGTGTCCACAATTCCTGAGCACACAGATGTGTGTCCACAATTCCTGAGCGCTCAGCTGAATTCTCACCCCCCACCAAACCCGCTGCTTCAAAGCAACAGAGAGGAACATTACTGGTTTGGACATTGATTTGTTTACATGTAAAGGCAATTACTGATGATCTGTTCAGCCAAGCAACCGCTGGCTCGCTTCATCTTCCCTGCATCTGTGATCACTCCTCCCGGCTTGCCAAGCTGACTCCAAATGAAGATCCTGAGCACGAATTTTCTGTCTCAGGAATCACCATTTCAGCTGTGATCTTTAACTTCACCACTTCCTATATTGATTTTGACTGTAGTCGAAGTATTTCTTGTCCAACACGCTGCTGGGTATCCTGCAGAGAGGAAATACCTCTCCTTGGAGGCTGTTGCTGGAGCTGTCCCCCACAATCAGGGTCATCACAGGCATCTGCTCCTCCCCGAACCTACCAGAAGTCCCTTCTCACATCACTCCCTCACATTCCCTCTGCAGTGGATCTTACATCTACACTAACACAACCATGAACTTACTTCTCCATTGGCATTAAGGGATTTTTTCCAGCCAGTGCACCTCCATGAG